GCTTGACAAGCGGTCTGTTTGATAGTGGCGCAAAGCGTTGACAAGCATTAGTGTGTTAGTTTGTTGTGATATGTAAAATGAGCAAGTTCGCGGAAGATAAAGATTTTAGTGGCAAGTAGCAAAAAATCGTCATCCGATGAAGACATGTTTACGTCCGCCCACTACGAAATTTTATTGCAAATGGTGTTGACGCTTTATGCTTGAGTGTCGCCGGGCAAGCTTCAAGCACCCGACATTCAACCCGACACTCACACATGTACTCGTTGCTGGGGTAACCATCAACGGATGCTTGAAATCGCCGACGAGCTTTAATTATAGCCCACGGTCTTCCACTCGAAATTCTTTTTTTATTTGCTTATCAGACCGCAAGCATATAGTAGTTTTCATCTAATCTAAATTTCAATTAATGTACTTGGTTGTCGACACGGTTAAAAAAGTTACCAAAAACGTGCCACCGAAATTTTTTATTGTCTGCGTTCAGACACGGAAACTTTTGTCGCGCAACTCGTTACTTGTAGGAGAGGGAGTGACGAGGAAAGGGAATGGCACCGAGTTTTCAAGTTGGCGATCGCAGCTGAGAACAACAATTGTTTACAAAATAGTTTCTCTGTGTGAATGCAACGGGCAACACCAAAAGCGAAGTTGCCGAAAATGAGCAAAAAAAGTTTCCGAGTCTGAACTCAGCACTATATGAATAATTTAACAAGACCTTTTATCTGGCCACCTTGCTTACCCGTTGTCATGGCAATCACTCTTCAGTATTAGATAAAAAAGTCAGGAACATTTTTTGGCAAATTTATTATCAAAATAAATTATATTCTGTAATCTAATGCGCAACAATGGAATATACGCTAAATAATGAAATCGACTTTGAAGAAATGCGATGTTGTCGTGCATGTCTGTCGGTCGCATCACAAGATGAACTTGCAGACTATATTGATTTGTTGCAGTTATACAGCTCCGAAAGCGATACTCTTACATTACTAGAGTTGTTCAATAAAAGCACACAGCTTTATATTGGGGTAGAAGATTTCCATATCGTAGGCTATCCTCCTTGCCATTATATATGTGGTCGTTGTCGCCTTGATCTTGTCCAAGCCTATGAGTTTATAACGCGAGCACAGTTGAATCACCAATTATTAACACAGTCGAAGCAAGAGATTATTAAAGGAAATGAATATGCAGAAGACCATGATCCCGATGAATTGGAAAAGGCGGAAGTTGAGGAGGAGTTTATAGAAAAGGTATATATACATACATATATAAAGGTATGTATGTATGTACACATGTGTGTACTTTGTGAAAATGTTTTTTATTAAGAATCCGTTTGCAAAAACAAATTTGAAAATTAAAAATAAGTTAATTTTCTTTGCCATTTTAAACTTTGTTTAAGACGTCGTAGGATCAAACAATAATGAATGAAGTACATATGTAGCTACATTTTCTGAAAATTTGTTTTTAGGATTTTGAACCTGTCGAATATGAACGAAACTCAAACAGCACTGGAAGTGTGTTGAATGACGATAATAATGGTTCATACGAACCTTTACCAACTACACTCATTAGTGTAGAGCGTATTTTCTCTAACGAACCAATTATTTCAAAAAGTAACATCAATGTCTCAGAAGAGTCACCAGACGATGAAGAAGCTAAATCAAGTTCGTGTCTTAAATTATCTCAACGTGGAGCAGAGGAAAGGAATACTGGCGATGAGTCTAAGTCCTGTTTTGACTTCAAATGCGAGTTTTGTACATCGGTATTCCAATTCCAAAGAGATTTACTTCAGCATTATGAAGTTGAACATGGTACATAGATATATAGAATTCATATACGATGTACATTATGATATTCCTTGATATACCTACATATACATATTTTTTCGACTACACTTTCAGGGGATAAAACACATAATTTCCCATGTGAATATTGTCCAAATCGGTTTGTGTCGAAAAATGTACTACGCTTGCATCGACGACAGGTTCATCAGAAAGATGAATATATAGACTGCGAACATTGTGGACGCACTGTATTGAAGACATTCTACAACAAACATTTAAAGCGCCATAAACAACTGAAGTTCTTATGCAACAAATGTCGTAAGTTAACTTGAATATTTGCCAACATATTTTATTTAACTTATATATTTTTCACAGCTAAAATATGTGCTTCCCGTTTCACACTTAAAAGGCATTTAGAACTCCACTCAGATGAACGTGATCGAAATATTGAATGTATCGACTGTGGAAAAAGATTTTTTACACTCGAAAATCTCCAATTGCATCAAACTACTCACATCTTACCAGAAGATCGAGCAATATTCGAATGCACAATTTGTTCAAAAACGTTCCTGCGTAAATCAAATCTTGGTTTACACATGCAAATGCATCGTGGCAAGACTATCGATTGCCCACATTGTGGCAAAAAGTTCGTACGACGCAAAGATCTCGAAGTACATATACGTTTTCATACTGGCGATTTTCCATTTGCATGCTCGATGTGTGACCGGAAATTTGCTATAAAGGGCCATCTTAACTACCACGAGAAACGACATCTAGGTGTACGCTACAAATGTGATGAATGTGAAAAAACATTTATAAATCTCGCTGGCTTGAGGCAACATCAATACGAGCACACGGGAATGCCATTGTTGTGTGGAGTGTGTCAGCGTGGATTTCCTACCAAATTTAAGTAAGTATGTACAATCGTTGTAGGATGCGTGTAAGGATGTACCTTAGTAAATGCAGAGCCAACAGTGATTTGCCACTGGTTCAAATAAATTATTTTCTATTAGGGTTCGCCGTCATTTGCGCACCGTGCATCAGGATCTTTTTAAGAAAACTGGTTACACAGATGCGCTAGCAAAGAAGTACATACTTTCAGGATCAAAGTCGACCGTTGGAGAAAAGAAAGAAACTGAGTTTGCAGACAGTACTGAAGGCACTGTCGAGATGCTGGAGGAGCATGCTGGAGACATTCCACTAAACATGCTAGATGTTTAAATTTTGCTTTAGTAAAAGTAATATACGAGTTAAATATGTATGCGTTTTTAAGACAGCCAAATTTTAAATAAGCAGTATTTATTTAAAACCTATACACGATCGATATAATTTACAAATAAAGTGGTATACATAAAGTTACTTAAAATATATAATCTATTTATATTGGCAGTGTCTACACACACGCGCCACGGCTAGTTTAAAAATTACCGTATATCTACGGCAAAATTACGTGGATTATGTGTTGCCGGAGAAGTGGGGCAGAACTTCTTTATGCGTAGGCGGCCTTCGGCCGCGCTTAGGGATTATAACCCTTACTACTCAGAATTATCCTTTCTGAGTGTGGGACAGAACTTTGTTCGGCGTAATTTTTACCGTGGCACGTGTAAGTAGACACTCCGATGTATACTATTCTGCTTCCATTATTCAGCAACCCTCTAGTTCCGGTGGAATCGGAATGTCATTATGGGCTGCAAACTGCAGCAAAGCCTTGTATTTATTCTTCCAGTTAGCTATATCCTTGCGACATTGTTCGTTATCTTCGTGCATAGTTTCCAGCTCAACCCATTCATGCGATTTTTCTGTTTCCAAAACATCCTTCTGTTCTATACGTTTTATGCGACAACTAGCTGCATAGCCACGATTTTTCAGCGTTCGTCGACGTTGCTTCATACGCACAACCTCCTCGCGATTTAGGCCGCGAGACTTTAGAGTACGATTAAGGTCTCTGACGGATATAGAAACTAGCTCATCATCACTTATGTCTGGTATAGGGCATGGCGATAGTGGTGCCTGTAGGTTGAAAAATTTTATAGCAGTTAATTTTCATTATCATATACATATCTACATATTGGTATAATGATGCTTAATTGGGCTTAGTAATAATTTTGCATTTACGTAAAATTGTTGTGTTACCATTGACGATTTTCTTTCTCGTCGGTGCTGTAGTCCGTCCATTTTCCGCACAATCAATTGTTTTGACGTTAAAAGAGAGCCACTTTATTAGTTTAGACTAGAATTTAATAAGTTTTTATAATATCAATGATTTTATTGAAATTCAATTATCTGCTAAGAATCACAAATACTGAAGAAATACAGAAATTTACCAAAAGAGCGATAGATTTCTTCACCGTAAACAACCTTTTCACAAACTTTTCACTAGAGATGTCGAAAAAACATCGATGCATAGAAAATATCAATGTTCTGCTTCGATGCATCGAAAATTTTCCATTCGATGTATAAATAGTCGATGCTTCGATGTTTTCTGTAAGCTGACATCTCTAGTACATCGAACCGCTAAACATCGCTTTGTCTGAAATTCGAGGAAATTGATGTTAAAAAGTTCAAAATATTGATGAAAATTTGTTGAATTTTTCTAAATTTCGTATAAAGTTAGACACATTGTTTTGCATAGTTTTAGCTAAAGTATGAACAACATTTTTATAAAAAATTATAAAAAGTGTTAACTAGAAAACGCAACGAATATTTAAGTAAAAATTATCAATGTACGCCCTCCAATGCATCGACGAATGTCGATGTAAGTTTCGATGGGAAAACATCGATGTATTTTTGCCACTGACTTCCCTACTTTTCACTAGAGGTGGAAAAATATCGACGACACTACCGATTTATCGATGGTTTGAGTTAAAAAACTACTATCGATGTTTTAAAACTATCGATACTGCAATGTAAGATCAACTAGTAAATTGTCTCCAAGTGAACAAATTTTCCCAAAAATTATAAAGTAAAACAACAAAAACAATTTTCCCCAAGCCGCTTTTGTGAACAATTTATTCAAATGGAATTGTTGATAGGACTGAATAAATAAATCGATGGGAATCGGTAATTCTTACATACATTGAAAATTTAGGTCTGTACTTAAGCGCATTTTCTACTACAAAAAATTGTAAACTTGTTCAGTTTAAAATAATTTTCCGAAAACAAGGAAAATAAATCTATAGTGTTTTGTTCTCTTTATAAAAAGAAAACTGAAATCCACTGGCAATGCAAGCAATTGATGAAACCATTTGCAACGCTGCTCATATTACCAAAAAACCTAAATAACAAGAAGGGACAACTCGTTATAATTGTAGCGAAAGTGCGCAAGTCTTGAATTCAATTCTAATCCCATATGGAAGAGAGCGAGTGAGAAGAAAAGGGACGAGTACACATGCGTCTGTACTGTGTTTTGGTTTTGATTTTGGGTAGCAAAACTGTAATCAAAAGATGTAAGACATGTCAACGAAAACCATAACAACCGGTGTGAACAGCCCACAATCCCAAAACTCGTTTTCAAAGTGTGAGCAAGAGTGGAAGAAGGAGAAATTTTGCAAGAGAAACGTAGACAAGTTGCACAAGTGTGACGTCATACAAACAGCGATTCTGTCAAATTCACTGGGAGCGGAATAGCGGTACCGAGATGGGCGCCACCTTTCTTCTCTATATCATGGGTGAAAACATGGTATTTTGGTGTTGCCCTTCGCGTTCACACAGAGCAATTCAGAGCTGTTGTCAGCTGTGAACGGCCAATTAGAATTACTCAGACGAACGAGAGCACAAATCGTGTTGCCCGAGCACGAGCAACTCGGTACCCTTCCCCCTTCTTCGTCACTCCCTCTCCCACCAATAACGAGTTTCCGCGACAAAAGTTTCTCTGTCTGAACCTAGACTTAAGGAACCAAAAACTTCAATTCAACTGAATTGGACCGTGTAAATGCAAATAGAAAACACAAAAGATAATGAGCAAGAATTGCTTTCAAGTACTTGAATCATCAAAATTGGGGGTCACCAAATGCGAATTCTTATGTTTTCGCCTTGGCAGCAGGGTTGCAGGGTCAAGACCAGTGTGAGGACTATACGACCGTAAACTTAAAATTCACCACATTACAGTTTTTCTAATTTTTAAATTGGACAAATTTTTCAATACGGAACCAAGCTTTCGAAAAAAATAAAAAGGAGGGGTGTAGAACGGGTCCCCCTGATTATAAATCCGAAAACACTCGTGGCCCCCTCCGGAGGCTTATGGTTTTTAAGTAATTTGCATTTATAGTTGCAAAAAATGTCAAATTCAGCCTCACCTTTTGCTTTGTAGACCAATTGAACTGAAATGTCGGTGCTGCCACACAACAAAAAATTCACGTGAAACAACAAAACCGCACATAATACGGGTTTTCCATTACATATCGATGTATTGATTAAAAATAAGCGCCGCAGTCTAAGATCGCGCAATTATTTATTAAAAGTTTTAATGATTTATCGAAGTATAGATTTTTATGAAAAAAGCGACGCAGGCGAAAATTTGAAATAAAAAATCTCGTGATTTTTTGTTAAAAATTTACATTATCGAATTTCGATTTTTATGAAAAAAAGCGCCGCATGCGAAAATTTGTAATAAAAAATCGAGTGATTTTCTTTATATGTCCAACTATCCATTTTTATAAAAAAAGCGCCGCAGGCTAAAATTTATAATAAAACATCGCGCGATTTGTTATTAAAAATTTTCATTATTTATGGAAGCATCGATTTTTATAAAAAAATCACTTTAAAAATAGACGAGTTTTATTATATGCATTCAACATACATACAAGTAGTAAAAGTATAGACCGTGATTATGTGCCCTTATTTGTGGTGTATTTTCTTTTAAAACGTATGGTAGCATATATTTGTTCTTACTGTCCCTGACCATTGTTATTTCTTTTTATTTGTGAATTGTGAAAAAATTTGTAAACACATTTATAAACGCGTTTTACTTAAGTATTATAAACGCATGTGAAAATTTTAAGCATAGCATATTAGTATAAATATAAGTGAAAAGTGGCGTTTTAAATTAAAATTTGGTGATATTAGTCGGGATACTTTAACAACAAATTACTTAAATACTAGCAGCAACATTGTGAAAGTGATTAATGCAGTTAAATAAGACCTCCATTAACATCCTCACCAAGTTTTATATAAAAATTCCGTATACTAAATTATATAGCTTTTGGTTCCGTAACGGAAATCTCAGCTTTTAAATGGCTATGATCTTGCCGTCCCGAATTTTATTTTATTTTTTTGTAAATCTTCAGGATAAGAATAAAATTTAACGGCGTACCAAAAACTTCAAATTGACTACAAAATTTTTTTGCTGATCTGGGGCCAATTCTTGTTCTGTGAAAACGTAAAGTGAAAACATTTTGCATCACTTCACATAAAATTACGATTCTGTTTTCAAAAGTCACAATAATCTATAAAATAGTTACTTGCTAGATGTTGATGGAATAGCATTTAATGATCGAGAATCGAAAATAATATTTTAAGAAAACATCTACCATCATTGATTGAAATTCTTCAATTTCAACGAAAAATGACACACGTCAACAATCTTTGCGATTGTCAAAACTTTCAATACATTGGGCCTGTGCCAATTAATAGAGGAGGAACTTTTGACGGATCAAAGTAAAAATTTTACACTTCTCATGGTGAATACGAACGTCAGAATTTTACCTAGCTCATGGGGCTAGCAGTACGAATGCCGTTAGCGCGACACATAATTTTTATTGTTTTTCTGTTTTTGGTTTTTCTTAATTACGAAAAAGCCTCTGTGAGGGTGTAGAACGGTTATGGGCACCGCCTTGCCCGCGGGCAAAGCTCTTTTAAGCTTTCTTAACATTTTGTGTAGGCGCGTGGAGAGTAAAAGCTCTCTCTGCACATCGCTGGTGTAGAACCAAATCAAACGACGAAGCAAATTGATTCAAGTTGACCATTTGAAAACACATTTATAAAGCGGCTGTAGCTGAGTGTGTGTAGAGATGCTTGCTGTTATTTACTAATGCTGTCAGAGGCAAGATGTTAAAATGATAATAAAAATTTTTGTTTTGTATCTCCGAATTATGAAAAAGCATCTGTGAAGTACAGAACATAAACTTATTCAAACGAAAAATCGCCAACCAAGAGTTTGGTTTATGTAAACAAAATTTTAGTTGTTATTATCAAACCATTGTTGTAAATATCAACCAAGGCATTGTTAATATTAACCAAAAATCACGTTGATTCCTTTTCAAGTCTGAATTTGGTAATATTAACCAATTTTTGGTTGATTTTTGCTAATTGTTTGGCCGAGCTTCCCTTCCCTTATAGTGAGCGGCTTGATGTTCTTACACAAATGGAGAAGCCTACAATTTAACGACGACCACCACTTAACTGAGCAATTATGTATAATTAAAAATAAATAAATATTACGATTTTATTTGTTATATTTTTTTATTACTAATTATTT